GGGTTTAGGGCTTAGGGGCCCTAAATACCTACTATTCGGGGCCCTTACACTGTAAACCCTGAAATCTCTAAATGTCCTTGACCGTAAACCCTGTTGCCCATTTTTGAGGGTACAAGGAGGGCTCGGGTTGCTTCAGAACTAAGAGGTGGAACAGCAAAGCATGGGAGCTAGGATTAGGGGACCCTTGGGGATATAGACCCTCTCAATAAGGTCCCTTTTAAGAGAGCCAAAAGTAGGGTTCAGAAGAGGTGCCCTTTAAGGGTACCCCTAATAATACGACCTAAAGCAAACTGTACTTGTGCTTTGGCGCTGTTCTCAGCCAGCAACCGATATGTTCGTAGCAAGAGCCTGCAGCACCATCTCAGGCCTGCGGCACAATCCGGCTCTTGCCTTCTGCCGCTCTCTCTCTCTCTCTCTCTCTCTGTCTCTCACTCTTTCTCTTTCTCTCCCCCCGAGGGTCCAAAGGACCCGATAATCAGGTACTTAGGTTTCGGATAATGGTTATATAGGTTACTGTTTGGGAGAGTATATGATTATTGGGTACTTGGACTCTCAGGGTCCCTCTCTCTCCCTCCTCGTGTCTGGCTCTAACCCTCTGTCGACTCTCCACACAGCTTCTTCTTCGTTTGCACTGCAAGCTCTGCTCTTCTCGTCACGCCTGCAGTGGTTCTCGATTCGGGGCATGGTGAGGGTGGTGCTCTAAATTAGGGTCTCTTTTCAGGTCCCCCAAATAGCACGGCTCCCTTAGCTACAAAAAGGACCCGAAAAGGGAGCCTAATTTAGACAACTACAAGACCCTAAGCTCTAAGCCCCTAAACCCTAAACCCTAAACCCCAAACCCTAAACCTTAAACCCCAAACCCTAAAACCTAAACCCCAAACACTAAACCCTAAACCCTCTACATTCGTCATCGGCCTTTGTCCTGGCGGGCTGGAGAGCACCACCTCAGTCGTACTGCTGATGGACAAAATTCTGCATGACCCAAATATAGTATAGTACCATAAATCCCATAGTTTAGGTATATAAGGTCATGCAGGATTTTGTCCATCAGTCGTAGCGGTGTTTGGTCCAAGGACTTCGGAAGAGCTGAAAGAGTTGCTTCAGCGAGCGGTTTAGGGTTTAGGGTTTAGGGGTTTGGGGGTTTAGGGGTTTAGGGTTTAGGGGTTTAGGGGTTTAGGGGTTTAGGGGTTATGGTTTAGGGGTGTAGGGCTTAGAGTTTAGGGGTTAGGGTTTAGGGTTTAGGGGTGTAGGGTAGGGGTCTTACGAATTTTAGTGGGGTTCTGGGCTCCTTTAATAAGGAACCACCAAAATATTCTTGGTAACTATGAAGGCCCTTATGTTCTTATGATGTTAGGTTTTAGGGTTTTGGGGCTTAGGGTTTAGGGTTTCGCATAGGTCCTCAACGGTTGTAGTTTGTGATAAACTCATAGGCTTTCATAAAAGATGTTATGATGTGCTTCACAAGAAGTTCAGGCTATGTAGTGGTTTTCACAAGGGTTGTTTGTTACATTGGGCTTCATAACGGTTTCAGAAGGTTTCCAGGATTTTATACGTGCAACCCTAAACCAAAAAAAACCTAAACCGTTCTGCAGGCTGTTCAAACAGGTTCTAGAACGGCAGCTGTTAGGCTTGGGTGCTGAGCTGCACCCCAAAGACCAGCTACCTATAAAGAACCTAAAGGTAGAGCCCGTTATTTGTAAGGGTCCTAAGTACCTATATTATATTTATATACACACATTATATATAGATTTGGGGTTTAGAGAATCGAATGTGGGATTTCGGAAGAAGGAAACGCGATTTTGATTTGGGAACGTATCCCCTATCTTGGTACTTAGGACCCTTTGGGTAAGGAACCGTTGTAGAACCCTCTTCCGCCGAGGCCCAGGCCACAGCGGCCGCCAGCGCCGTCTCCCCGCAAGCCGCGGTGGAAAAGCGCGCGCGGAGCCGCAGCATCTGGGGGTGTACACGGCTTTAGGGGCAAGGTTTAAGAGGTTTTTGGGCTTTGGGGCTTTGCAGGGTCGCTGAGCCGTTTCAAGCTTTAACCACGGGATAGAAGTACGGTACGGAATGGCAGATGGC